CTCCAAAGCCCCCCCCCCCGCAAACCTAGAATTACTGTGTCCATTTTCATTCAAACAAAATGTCTGAGATCTTTTGCCATGCTTACTGAAGCCTATGTCCATCCTGGACGGTCATAATTCTTCCTTCTTTTTAGTTATCTGGGCTGGCAACCTGTATAGATGGGCAAGCTATTTCAAATATTTCATTTCCAATTTACTACCAAAAAAAAAAAAAAAAAAAGAAACCCTAATAATGTGTATATACATAGTTGGTGGGATGGAATAGTTTTTGGGTTTTCCTTCCACTATCTTTCTTTGGTAAGATTCTTGCTTGCATATGAAAGAATCAACAGTAATGTGAAAATCCAAACAGCTTCAGGCAGGAATAATGATGAATAATACTGCTAATTCTCTCTCTCTCTCTCTCTAAAATTTTCACAGCTTTGACTTTGGACCATCTGCATGGGAGACGCATGTGTGCGCACGCACACACATACACACACAAATCTAATGCACAAAAAAATAATGAGACAAAACATTTTAATTGCACCTTTTGTGACAAGGTTACTAAAATAGCACTTTACATAAAATTTCTACGGTGGGATTATAAAACTATCAGCACTCTGCTATAAGAAAAACAATTTGCTGAACATTAAAAGCTAACTTCAAAAATTCAAGGTCTCTATGGCCAGCTTTAAAAAAGAAACTGTTCAAGGGTAGGGATAGGGAGGGTACAAGTTATCTCCATAAGGAGAGAATTCTAGGGAGGAGGAAGTGTTAGAATGCATGCTTGATCAATGAATGTATGCCTTGTGGAATTTTGTCTGAGAACACGTAAAAATTAAGTCCTTTCTTGTACAGCACTTTGCGTTCCAATCTACTCCCAATGGATTTGCTTTATATCCGGCCTTCTGGAGCTCTGCTTTTAACATGTTTTGCTTCTTTTACTTCCTAAAAACGTTTGCAGGTATCTACAATGCAGGCTACAAAATGAGCAAATCCTTCCCAACTATTTTCTTTAACAAGTAGCCTTCACATATTTTAATATATCATGAATATCTTGAACCAGGGCCTTCTCCTGCATATCTTCATTATATTGATCTACGTTACAGAGATCATAAACATTTTGGCTTAGGAGACGTTAGTCAGCCACTCTTTATATAGTAACAAGAACAATAATATAAAAAAAATGGCTGCGATTCACTGTAGTCTAGTCTGTGTGTTCAAATATTTCAACCTCTGGTTCTGGAGAGGACTTTTCCATATTATAATTGTGCATCAGTGTCAAGATATCATCAATAATTTATTCTATTTATTGTCAGTTTGCTTCTTGAATGTAAAAGAAAAAAATGTGTTCAACTAAGCGCATGTTCTAAAAATATAAAAGATCACAGCAACAATTTAAAAAATAATATTTCTAATTATGAGCTTAATAAAAAGTCCTATTTAAAACACACACAGTGGAAGAAAAAAATTAGAAAGCATAAAACAGATCAATAAAAGGATTTCAAATGGCTTGGAAGCAGAAGGCGTGTTGAATCCAGACTATGGAATAAAAGCAGAGTGATTGACACAAATCATACTCCTCATCCAATTTGCCCAGGTTTGCATTTTAAAATTCCTTTCTTTTTTGTTGCTGAATGCAAACAGATTTTTTAAAGATTTCACTCTAATGAGCATCTTCTATTTTGTACTGGGCAGGTAAGTAGGTAGAAGAAAGGTAGGTTAAAAAAAATAAAACTACTAAAACTCTACAGAATTATGATTCATTCATTTTGAATAAAGCACAAAGTATGTGTAGCTTGTTGCATTTGTTAGGAATTTTTAAAAACCTCATTATGCTAAAAATTAATTAATAACTTGCAGCTGGATATGCCATTTAAAAAATAATAATAAATGTCTGCACTCCTGTTTGATCATTTTTATCCATTCTGGTTTATCTCATGCCATTCTTTTTAATCCATATACTAATTGTAATCCCATTAAAGCAGATATAATTTTATTATCATTCATAGTTTGTCAAGCTAGCAATAATGATGGCTGTTACTGCTGAGTTTAGAGAAAAATAAAAACTGTCACACATTTTCCTCTTCTGATGTTTAAAGTAACTTGTAAACAAAACTTAAGTGGCTGTGTGTGGTTTTGTAAATCTAAGATTAAATCCATACTTCCATAAATATATATCCCATAAACAGCCTGTACACGCAAATGAAGGTACATACTACATTGGCCGCAGAATTTGAAAAACTCAACCATATGAGAAAACCCTTAAGGACAGAAATACATATAGTGCCTGGGTTAAATAGAGAAGCTAGTTAAGTTACACTGGAAACAAAGTCAAACATTCATGAAGAAATAAAATGCTTCTAATACCAAACTATTTAATCCAGATAGGTCTTTTAAAAATTCAAAAACAAATGCAACAAGCCTAGATCAGTCCTGTTAAAACACAATGAATCTAAGGCATTCTGAAGCATAGACAGAATCTTAAAAATTTCACCACCTCTCATTCAGCATGTATTACTTTTATTGCGAATTTTTGCATTCCAGCTTTGAGGTGTATGTGGAGGGTGAAATTGTTGCTATTGTTTTGGTATTTCCATATTGATATATAAAACCTTATTCTAAATGGCTGATACAGATCTTGCTTCCAAAAAGATCTTAAATTAGGGATGGGCAACTTGAAATCCTGAGCTGCTTTAGCATACAATGGCTGTCCCATTTTGTGCATGTGTTCTCGCTAATGTTCTGCAGTCAACACCTGCTATTTTGCACACCCTCCCCGTCCCAGGCAATTAATTGATTAAAAATGGATGCCATGGACAATCTCTAAAGAACCTGGCACATACCACCTCCCTGATTTTTCTTGCCAAACATTGTGTCTTCAGCAAGATACCACGAGCACTTGTTAAAACTAACACATGCACTGCAAACCCATTCTCACCCTGACACTTCAGGGCTTTATATAGAAACAGGATTTTCTAGTCTTATACCACCCGCTCTATTAATGCTCACCCTGCATATACAGCTACCCCTAATCTGAAACAGCATAGCCGGCTCCTGGGTGCTCACCCTTCCCGGGCAAATAACAGCCTTTTTGTTCAGAGAGAGAGAGAGAGAGAGAGAGAGAAAGTGCCTTGTTTATGCAAAAGAATTTCTTAAGGACGTTAATGCAGAAAAAGGGTTTCACCCGCCCCCCCCTTCTGTGGCTTTCCCTTCAATCCCAACAACTAAGGGGCAAATGGTAGGGGGAGGAAGCTGGAACAGCCTTTATTTTAGCCCTCCCCGACTAAAAAGAAAAACTCCATCGGGAGGAGGAATTTGGGGACGTGGGCCTTAGTATTTTGCTCCTTACTAAGATGAAATATTCAGAATTACCAAAAATACAGTCTCTTCTTCTCACACATGCCCAAAACAAAGCTGCGGGTGTCCTGGGAATTTTGAATTCTTAGCCGGGGCAGAAAGGGTCACCTCCACTACACTTCTGAGCCCCCCATTCCGCAGAGTCCCCATAAAGGACTTGGGAGGAATGGTTTCTTCCTTCCCTTTCTCTCACCCTCCGACCCTATTAAATCACGAGCAGGCGGCTTTTCCCTTGCTCACACGCGTGTATCTGCTGACGCAGGCCACGGGACAGATTCTCCGCCTGCTAAGACTTTCAGAAATTATATCGAAATGTATTGTCCAAGGAGCGAAGAAGAAAAAAAAAACACCACTAGGCAATTAAAAACAAGGTAGCAAAAAGGGGCATTTGCAAAGCAGAGCCAAAACCTTTCCTGCTGGTGCGCTGCTTCCTGGCTATTTTTATTCTCCCTTCGCAGCTCCTCTGTCAGCGGTTCGCGTAATTCTGCACACTGATACAACCGTAGCAAAGATCGATCTGCTGCAATATCACCCTTTTTCCCCTTTCCTTTTTTTAAACAGCTCAATCGGGCGCCCCTCCTTCGGTGCTCGCGACCCCTCCCTCGCCACTCTGCAGTCAGGGCGCTCGAGCCTCCCCGCAGCTCTCCAAGGCCCCTTAGATCCCCTTCGCTCCTTTAACCCCGGCGCTCCGCACTGACCTGTGTGCGTAGCCATGGAGATGGGCGAGGGGAAGTATTTCCCGGGCTGGAAGTGTCCTCCGTGCTGCACTGAGTTGTGCCCGGCGGAAGCGAGGCGGCTGGAGCTGTTGCGATGGCCCCTCTCGGCCAGGAGGGGAGGCGGGGGTGCGAACTCCCGTCCATCCATACCGGGGCTGCACTCCCACAGCCGAAGCCCCGGCAGGGAAGGGGCTGCGGGGCGGCCTTGCAGCGGGCGGAGATTCGCCCCCTCCCCAGGAAAGGAAATCTGCAGGCCGCAGGCGCGGGGAAGGAAGGGCTCCCCTCAGCACGAGGCTAATCGTATTCCTCCAAGGGGCCTCCGCTTCTCGTGGCACCGGGGATCCGGCCTCATTCTCTGCAAGGGAAAGGAAGAAGAGATCAAGCGCGTGAGGAAGCCATTGGGGCTGGACGGACGGATGGACGGACGGACTGCGGGCGCAGTACCAGAGGGCGAGAAGCGGCGGCCCCGTCCTAGAAGCCCCGCTGATGGGTGCCCCCCAAAACGAGGCCGTGGAAACAGACCCCCGCCTTCTGCGTCTCTTCCTTTTTGCCGCCTGCATCCCTTTGTGCGAACGAAGCAACTGGTTTTTATGGATTGCATGGCGACCACCAGATTTAAAACAAATACATCAAACTCTTCCAAAATCTAGGCTGAAAACAGAAAATACAGCAATGCGGCGCTTCTAGGCCTTGTAGTTTTTATCACGACGGGGGAGGGGAAGGGGGAGAGATAAGGATAGAACTGACAAAGCGAGATCCGTACGGATGAATACAGGAGCAGCGCCTCCAATGTAATTCGGGACAGCGAGGTGGTTGGAAGAGGGAGGAAACTTGGAAGGAGGAAAAATAATACATTGAGAGTGAAGTTTTTATTTGCCAGTTGTAGTTCTGTTCAACTATGTTATTTATTATTTTGAACTGCTAAATGTTCTCCAATGACTACTACAATCATTTCCTTGCTCTGGTATCTATCTGGGCAAACTAAATCTTCAAATGGATGCTTTTAAAAATGTTATGATGAGGCTGGAAGGGATGGAGGGTGTCTTTCAGTTGCCCCCCCTCTCCCTGATGTAAAGTGTGATCCTTTGCTTTAGATGTGTGTGGGTGGGAGGGACCGGGATTATCTTTGGTTTGCTGGCTTCCCAGTTTACAAACCAGTTGCCTTGATGCAATCCAAAAGAACGCCTTCCTTGCACGGACCCCAGACGAGGGGAAAAAAAGAGCTTGCTGTGCTTCAATTGCTCAAGCTCAGAAATAAATATTTCACTGCAGACACTTGAGTGGCAAAGTCCTGCATTCCTCCTTCAAGGGCAGGGGTTTAAATTCTACAACTGTATTCTTAGACAAAACAGTTATGTAAGGTTCTTCCTGTGCATTCATTCCATTTACACATAAGGGGTTTCTGGCTTAGACCCAATGTGGGTAACATTAGGCCAAGAGGAGGGGGGGATAAAAAGACCTCCCCCCCCCCTTTTTTCCTTCAGATTTACCAAGTAGGACTGTGCTGCACTGAAAGATTTCCACTGCCCTTTGGCTACAAAAAATGTGCATCTCCCATATAAACAAAGTCACTGAGATATTAATGGGAATCTAATGCATCTACAGTGGGGGAAGGAGGGGTATCCAAATTATTTTCTTCCTATACAGTGAGGCAGCTCATCCTATATATCTGTTCTTACCTGGAACTCTTACATTGTCTGAAGGATCCACAGCCCATTCAACCCATAATGAAAGTAACTCCATACTGAACGTGCTTACTGGTTAACAATCCAGGAGAAAGAGAAAAAACATTTGCTTACCTTAATGTGCCATGATTAGAACAATGAAACAAATTTTTATTTACTGAATACTATTTTAAATAGTTAGATGCAAAGCTTTTAACTCTTAACATTGCTCTACTACTTCGTGTTTGATTTAATCTATAACTGAAAACAAGGTATTAAATGACTACATATTTGCACAGCGGATAAGATTACACATGCACACATACACATGTGTATGTGTGTGCGCACATAGGTACACAAAATAGAGGAAAAGAGAAATATGGAGAGCTTTCTATTATAAGTAAATGGAACCACTATGTACAAAAAGACAAGTTTCTTTATTACTGGAGATTTTAATCATCTGCATATTAGCAATATTTTATATTTTGTAATTGGGGGAATTATAAGAAAAATGTGTACTATCATCACCTCCCCCCCCCAACAGTAAAAATCTTCCCAGAGAGGCAGCAGAAAAAAATAATGAGCTGGAGGGAGGAGGTCGTGGAAGAGTTGAAGCCTGGAAGACAAAAGCGAAATTAGCAGCTTCAGCAAGTTTGGGTTCGATACATCAACATGAAGGGAATGCTGTGTGTTGGTTTACCTCTCCTCCCCCTTCTTCTTCTTGAGATTTTTTTTCTATATATGCATATTTAAGGGGGAAAAACCTGTACCCGACTGAAATAAACCAGCCGATTGGAAATCCTGATTACAGGCCGGTGGAAAGTTTTGGTATTAGCGTTCCAAGAATGAATACTCGCTACCACGTACTGTGCAGAGGGTTTGCTCTAAGGTCGTGTCCATTTTGGCAATTGCTAGAGTCGAAAGAGGAAAACTGAAATCAGCCTTTCTCCCAACTGGTAAACGGGCTGAAGGGCAGCGCGAGAACCTCCGGATCCAGTCGTCAAAAATGGGGACTTGAACGACCTGCCTTCGATCTTCCTTGGCTTCTCTTCGGCGTGGCCGAAATTAAAAAGACGATTCTTTACAGTATAAAGACGCGTCGCCGACGAGAGTGAGGTACGTTACTTTAAAATCAATCGCCGAACCTCGGACTTCCAAAGGAACAAAAGGACGATGTAAATTTGCACGGTTCGGTTCCAGTGAGCTACGCCCCCTCCCTTGTTTTGTTTTAATTGGGCAAGGAAAGAAACCCGGGGGGGGGATAGAATAATCCAGCTGTAAGTTCTCTGGTCAATTCTACTGAGTCGCCGAGGTTTTGCGCGGACTAGAAATATGTTCTACTCTCCAAGAGGTGGACGAAGAAAGAAACTGAAGATCCGGCAGAGTTCAAACGCTTCGGCGCACTGCTCTCGGGCCTTGTCGGAAAAAACAAAAACGGTGAAGAAGCCTCTACCGTGCTAAATCCTTCTACAGCCCAGCAAAGATCTCTCGAGAGCGGCAGCCATCAAAAGGGTCTGCCGCTGCTACAACCTGAGGGCTTCCACTAGGCAGCAGCATGCTAAAAAACCTCAGAGATCTCTCCCAAAATGTGGGGTTTTTTCTCTCCCAGCTAATACATTTTGAACAATTTTCTTACACATCCTCTTGTTTGCTTCCCCCACAATCGCTTTTTTATTTTGCAAAATAATAATTATTGTCATTAATGAAAAGGAAGCTAGGCTGAAGTTGTTTCAATATATTGAGCTAAGCAACAAAGCCACCACCCAAAGCGTTCAGTGCATTTTAAAATCAAACGATTATTACAATCATTGCAAACAGGCAGAGAGATTAAAAGAAAGAGGAAACCGAGAAACAAAAGCGTGTCACTGAATTATTCAGTTTCCAGAAACCTTTTCCGTCCCTCAAAAAGCAACTACGGTTCGCCGTTTTAAACTGAACCCAAACAAGCAAGATGGATTTTCTTCCTTTTTAATTTTAAAAAAGCCTTATGATGCATCCTAACCGCATGTTTCTCTCCACGGCAAAACACAGTTATCTTACTGTGCGGAAGATCAGTATACTTGCGCACACCCCGGTA